ACACGTCCACACACACACACACACACACACACACACACACACACACACACACACACCCACACCCCAATATAACTCACTCCGTTACTTCAGCGTCGCAGTGTTTAGAAGTACAGGGAGGTAAAACTTTGGATTAAAGGTGGTTTAATATAAGCCAGGTCCAAAAGTGAAGACAGTCGCTGTGTGCACGACAACAAAGCCGATTTTTCCACTCGCACACCGGAGTGATAGGCGACCTCCTTTCCCCTGGTTTCCCCCAGAAGAGCAGCCACGGGAGAACCGTGACACCCACTGGCCTTTCAGCGCAATTTGCCCAAATCGCATCACGGAGACGGGCCCCACAGAGAACGCAGGGCCACGGCCATTTGTTTGGTTAGGCAGCATTAACCAGGTGCTAGTTTTCACTTAGTTCATTTCTTTGCTCTTAAACAATGTAATTTATGTTTGAAGTTGAAAACTTAAGTAAAAGTAGCAGAAACACGGTGTAAAACTACAGTTACAAGTTCTGCATTCAAAATGGTACTTAAGTAAAAGTATTAGCATCAAAATATACTTGAAGTTCCAAAGTAAAAGTAGTCATTATGCAGAATGTCACATGTTACATCAATGTGTATGATATTACAGCTAGTAAAGGGGGATCTACTGCCTGATGAAGTACTGCTGGGTAGCTGGTGGAGTTCAAACCAGAGATTAACACTGTCTGATGACTCTACTGCATTTTGTTTTATTCATCTGATTCTGAAAATGAACTGATATTATCAAATACATGTAGTCTAATAAAAAAGTACAAGACCTGGCTCTGAAATGAAGTCAAATAAGTAAGAGACAATGGAAATAAGTGAATTACAAATACCTCTCAGACTTTGTATAAATAAAGTTGTATTAATGTTTTTTAGATTTTTACAGAAAGCATATTGTGCTGTCTCATGGTTTAGAATATACAGTGGGGCAAATAAGTATTTGATACACTGCCAAATTTTCAGGTTTTCCCACTTACAAAGAATGGACAGATCTGTAATTTTCATCGTAGGTACACCTCAACTGTGAGAGACAGAAACTACCAAAAAAA